CTCATACTGGGTGAACCGGTCCACAATGCCAGTCACAGCTTCCGGGACTTGAGGAAGGGCTCCAGCAGGGCACCACAACCAAGTATCATGTTGGTTGGAAGGGGCTGTAGTTTCTAGGGTCTCTTACTAAAAGAGAAAAGTTTAAAGTTTCACCATCTTGTTTCTTGGTCTTCATTTAACTTAAACTCTTACTTTGATCCATCAGAAATTTACAGTAGAAAAGAGAATAAGCCATTCCGATACCCTGAAAGCAGAGGACCTCTTATATTCATCTCTAATTCCCCACAAAAATCAGCACAACAGGCCGGGCACGGTGGCTCACGCCTGTAATCCCAGGACTTTGGGAGGCCAAGGAGGGTGGATCACCTGAGGTCAGGAGTTTGAGACAAGTCTGGCCAACATGGTGAAACCCTGTCTCTCCTAAAAATACAAAAATTAGCCAGGTGTGATGGCAGGTGCTTGTAATTCCAGCTACTTGGGAGACTGAGGCAGGAGAATCAGTTGAACCTGGGAGGCACAGGCTGCAGTGAGCTGAGATCGTGCCACCACACTCCAGCCTGGGTGACAAGAGTGAAACTCAGTGTCAAAAAAAAAAAAAAAAAATCAGCACAACAGAGTCTTGGACAGGGAAGAGAGTCAATAAACATTTACTGAGTTGACTTGAATTGAGTAACAGAATGGCAAGAAAAGCATGTATTTGATACTTACATTGGATAAAAAATTGACAATATAAGGCACAAAAACACCAGTATAAAGTCACAAACCAAATGTTGATCAATTACTTGGGCATCTAAATCTACCTTGGAGGCTCAAGTCTTCATAAGGTATAAAATTTCTTAGGCTGGTCATTCGTTCAGCATATTTTTTTCTCCCCTTTTTCATCCTTTAATCAAGAATTTGGTCTCATGATAGCTCTTACCCACTCAGTGGCAACTAATTCTAAGAATGAATCTCCCCTCCTCCATGGAGAAGCAGTGTGAAGATGCAGGGTTGGAGACTATCAGCCCACATGGGATTTTCAGCACCGTGTCTGCATCATCTTTACTGAGCACTTGAATAATTTAGATTGCGTGTTCCATGAGGTCTTTGCCTGGTGGTGATAGACACTTAGGATGATCTCTCAAAGTGCTCCAAGCTTTTGCATGAAGTGGGTAAGCGGTAATGGTGATTTTAAAACCATCATGAGTTTGTGACAGAGTGTATTAGTTTTTTTTTTTTTTAATGAAGGCAAAAAGATCAAAGAAAAAGTTTAACACAGCTTAGAATTGAGGACCCCTAATGTCCTTTTCTACTTTCACCACTAATTGTGCAAACTTTAGGCAGGCCAGTCCATCTCCTGAATGCCTGAGTTGAAATAGGAGGCCATGGAGCTTCTTTCTGAATTTATCCTCAGAGGGCAGGGCTCTGAACTACTTAAAAGAAATGGATTGGGCAGTTTGGGGTCTGGGATTTGTTTTTGTTTTTTGGAGACTCCTGCTGCCTTTGTTTTGCGCCCTTTTAGTTGAGCCAAGCTCAGATCTGTTCTTCGTCTGCAGGCTGCACTGCTTGATCAGAAATGGCCTGTTTCCAAGATCTGGGCTGTGAGCCAAGGTTTGGTAAAATGGAACCTAAGAGGAGAGAGTCTCATTCCTCTTCTCCCTTTCATTTGGGTCAGACTGTAAGTGGCATCTAAGGCAAAGAGGACACATTTATCTACTCTATTGTGAGGGCTGAAATGCAGAGCTGGCCAGGGACCCTCGTCTGCTCAGGAGTTAGTGGGCTGCTCTCAATGCCCTGGTCATCTGTGGTTTCTCCTGAGTCTCTTCCCTGACTTTCCACGTCCTCCCACCCTCTGGGCAAATGCCAACTTCTCATCCTCCAAGCAGTGACTGTCTTGTCTTCCCCTTTCTTCCCACCAGTCTCTTTAGCTCAGTCACCCTCTTTTCCTGCCTCTGCTGTTCTTCTCCTTTCTCTCCTTCCTCATGGTCCTTCTTTGAGTTTTTATTCTTTTCACTTTCCCTTTGATCTTTCTCTGTTTTTGTGCCTTAGAACTTCTGCTGTCATTCATGGGCCTTAAAGGACATGTGGAATCTGAGAATAGGCAGCTACAGCTAATGAGATCAGTCTCTGCTTGGTGCCTGGGGATGGGACCAAAAGATGGCTAACCCCAGACAGCACCATGAAGACAGGCTACTGGGAGGATCATGGCAGCAAATCGCAGCCGTGATCGTGGCCCACACGTTTGCCAATTCATTCCCTCACCAAATATTGGCTGGGTGCCTACAGAAATGAAGATGCCACTCTATCTTCAAGGGTTAAAGGCTGCTTTTATGATCTTTCTCCCAGAGTTGTCCAATTAATCCTCATCTCTTTTGTATCAAGATGGACAACAGGTGTGGAGCATAACATTGACACACACAGTCACTGAATGATTTAAGCAAATGCCAAAGGATTTGATCATTACTGCAAGTAACAAGACACTGCTCTAAGCCAAAATATTTTCGATTACATTAGGATAGATAAAATCTGGAAGGGATTCCAGTTGAATTATATGCTGTCACCGGTGACCTGAGGCCACCTTCGGAAATAAACATAGAGGCTGGGCCAGGTGGCTCGTGCCTACAGTCACAGCACTTTAGGAGGACAAGCTAGGAAGATTGTTTGAGCCGAGGAATTTGAGAGCAGTTTGGGCAAGAAAGCAAGAACCTGTCTCTATAGAAAAAAAAAAATCTTAAAGAAAAAAGAAAAGAAGAAAAAGAAATCTACATAGAATTCATGAATGACTGTTTACAATGAGGTAAACCCAAGGCTCTCCACAAGTATTTGCTCAGATGGAATAGCCTTTCTCCATCTTTTAAAAGAAATGTTAAGGTCTAAAGTAAGCCTCATCTTGGATATTCCTGTTATTCTTACAGGAAAGTAACATAAACAATTTAATTAGTTAAGTAAACAATTTAAACAATAAATATTATAACCAGGTCACGTACCTACACGGGCTTTACCAAGGGGTATGTGATATAGGACACTGTCAAATTAATGGAATTCCTTGCAAAATCAACACAGAGCCTCGATGGGATGACACGTTTTAGTTTAGGATCCATAGGGCTACTGGATTCTGCTGAGGAATTCTATAATAAATCCCATTCAGCTATAATGTCCAGGTGTCAGATGGTGCAAAACAGAATGGAAACGGCTTTTTAATGTGCGTGCTCCTTGGTGACATGAACATGTTAAGATTCTACAAGCATTTATGAGTTCCATCTCCTAAGAGCACATTACAGTGCTTGCCTCGTCTCAAGCAGGCGATGAACAAAAGTTTGTGGATGGTTGACTCTACCCGATAAGTCCAGTTAATCAGATTGAATCATTTTCCAGTAATGCTGATTAAACTCCCGCTTGTGCGCCATGCATCTGACTTTACAGAACTCACTATTCATAGGCCGTGAGTCACTGTCCTCCCACCCACACGCTGATATCCCACAGTTGTCAGAGTGCGTCTACGCATTTATGTAATGATTCACCAGGAAAGAAAGGGGAGCTAGAGGAAGGGAAGGACGAAGTTAGACAAAGAGAATAATGAACAGCTATTGTCAAAAATGCTGTTGTCTTTGAATAAAATATTAACACTATATTTTTAAATTATGTTAATTTGCTTAAAGTCTCTTGTGACAAGTACATGAAAAATAGACCAGAAATTAGGAATTATAAAGGATTTCAAGACAAATCCCAACATAACCCAATAGAGTAGATGTAGAATGAACAGAAAAATGAAGACAAGGGCTTAATGTAGTTAAGTCAGTAGAAAGGAATCAACAGTGAGAAAATGGGGGCTAGAATGTCCTTTAAAGTACTTCAGTGTGGCGGGGCTCAGTGGCTGGTGGCTCACGCCTGTAATCCTAGCACTTTGGGAGGCTGAGAAAGGTTGATGAGCTGAGGTCAGGAGTTTGAGACCAGCCTGGCCTACATGGTGCAACCCTGTCTCTACTAAAAACACAAAATTAGCTGGGCATGGTGGTGCATCCCTGTAATCCCAGCTACTCAGGAGGTTGAGGCACGAGAATCACTGGAACCTGGTAGGCGGGAGTTACAGTGAGCCGAGATCGCGCCACTGTACTCCAGCCTGAGTGACAAAGCAAGACTCTGTCTCAAAAACAAAAAAACAAACAAACCGAAAAACAAACAAACAAAAAACTTCAATGAAAGTCCTAGCAGCAATGTTTTCCTTACTCTGTGCCTCTGACTGTTAACCAACATAATGAATGTGCTCTCACTGCTACAGTTGGGCTCAGCTTTGAGGAAATATCTGTGGTGTTCAGAACACTCTGTCAAGCTCCACGCAGAAGGAGGGGAAACGTTCTTCTTTGCACCTTAGTCACTTAATTTCAAATGTAGAGATGGGGGAAGAAGGAGGTGGAGGAAGAAGGGAAGAAAAACCAAATGACACACTTATGTACTTGCTCTGCATGTTGTCTCATTTAATCCTCAGCACGAATCCATGAGCTATTTTGCAGCCAGTATTAGTGAGGTATAATTGACTGATTCCAACTGCATAAATTTAAATTACACAATTTGATGAGGCTGATGAAATGGTAACCCCAATCAAGATAATAACTATATCCATCATCCACAAAAGTTTCCTCAGAGTCCTTCATAATCCCCCCTGTTCCCAGGCAAGCTGACCTTCTTTGGTTACTATAGATTGGTTTGTATTTTAAAGAATTTTACATAAATGGGATCATATAATACATACTTCTTTTTTGGTCTTTTTTTTTTTTAGATGGAGTCTCTCTCTGTCACCCATGCTGGAGTGCAGTGATGCCATCTCGGCTCACTGCAACCTCCGCCTCCTGGGTTCTAGCCTCAGCCTCCCGAGTAGCTGGGATTACAGGCACCCACCACCACACCAGGCTAATTTTTGTATTTTTAGTAGAGACAGGGTTTCACCAAGTTGGCCAGGCTAGTCTTGAACTCCTGACCTCAGGCGATCTGCCTGCCTCAGCCTCCCAAAGTGCTGGGATTACAGGCATGAGCCTCGGTCTTTCTTAAAAAAAAAAAAAAAAGAGTGTAGTTATTTTGAGATTTACCCATTGTAATCGGGTTGTTGCATACACCAACAGTTCAATCATTTTTCTTGCTGAGTAATATTCCATTGAATGAATACATAAAAATGTATTTATCCTTTCAGCTCTTGATGGACATTTGGGTTGTTTCCAGTTGAGGAATATTACAAATAAGCTGCTATGAATATTTGTATGTGAGTCTTTCGTTTCTCTTGGGTAAGTGCCTAGGAATTGGATTATCGGGTCTTATGGTTGGTGTATATTTAAGTTTTTAAGAAGCAGCCAAAATGTTTTCCAAAGTGATTGTTTTATTTTTAATTCCAATTGGCAGTATATGGAGAGTTCTGGTTGCTTCACATCCTTGCTCACACGTGGCTATGGGCAAACTTCATTTTTGCTATTCTAGTGGGTATACAGTGGTACCTCCTTGCGGTATTTATTTGCATTTCCCTTATGGCTTATGATATTGAGAATCTTTTCATATGCTCATTGGCCATTTGTATATGTTTTATACTGAAGTATTTGCTTAAATATTTTGCTCTTTTTTGTGTATGTGTGACAGAGTCTCACTCTGTTGCCCAGCCTGGAGTGCAGTGGTGCAATCTTGGCTCACTGCAATCTCCGCTTCCTGAGTTCAAGTGATTCTCATGCCTCAGCCTCCTGAGTAGCTGGGATTACAGATGGGCACCACCATGCACATCGGTAATCCCAGCTACTTTTTACATTTCTAGTAGACACAGAATTTCATCGTGTTGCCCAGGTTTGTCTTGAACTCCTGGCCTCATGTGATCTGCCCACCTTGGCCTCCCAGAATGCTGTGATTACAGGCATGAGCCACCACACCTGGCCTCATTTTTAACTGGGTTGCTTGTCTTTTTGAAATTAAGTTATAAGAGTTCTTTATAGATTCTAAACACAAATTTTTGTTGGATATAGGTTTTGATTTACCTTTTCATTTTTGTTACTATATCTTTGAAGAGCAAAACTGTTATTCTGAATAAGTTCCATTTACTAACTTTTTTCTATCAATCATAACTTGGACTTTTATATTGTAGTTAATAAATATTTGCCAAATCCATAGTCACTAAGGTATTATCTTAGGACGGGCATGGTGGCTCATGCCTGTAATCCCAGCACTTTGGGAGGTCAGGGTGGGAGAATCACTTGAACCCAGGAGTTCAAGACCAGCCTGGGCAACACAATGGAACCCCCATCTCTCTATTTATAGAAAAAAGATATCTTAGTTTTTCTTTTAAGAATTTTTATAGTTGGAATTCTTACATTTAGGTCTAAGATTCATTTTGAATTAATTTTGTATATAGTGTAGTAAAGGCCAAGGTTCATTCTGATTTTTATGTTCATTTTGATATTATGTTTCAGCACCAGAAAAGTCAGTATTTTCCCTATTGCATTACCTTGGCATCTTTAATCAATCAATCTCAACCAACTGATGACTGTAATAATGGAGTAGGGGTACATTTCTAGATTTCTCCTGATAAGTACAGCTTAAAATTTGGAAAACGACATGGTGATGAGTTTTATTTTTACTTCAGATACCTTGGACTGGAAAGTGGAAAAGCTGCCAACCTGGAAACACCACTGGACACAGAACGACAACAACAAGAGTCTAAGAAAAGTTTTCCCTCTAGCCACAAGACTAGGAAAGGGGCAACCCTGACAAACCAAACACTTTTAGATAATTGACACTCTACTCTCACCACACATTACAGAAAAAAAGTAGAGGCCCCATCCATACCCCCACCAGCAAATATAGAATGCAGAGCACAGGTTTCCACACTTGCATCTCAACCCTTCCTCCCCTACCAGAATGCTGTCAGAGAGGGCCTACAGGAAGCCAGCCCTCCCCTCCCATCAGTGTCATTGGAGACCACGCAGGGCCCACAGGAAGCCAGCCCTCCCCTCCCATCAGTGTCAGTGGAGACCACACAGGGCCCACAGGAAGCCAGCCCTCCCTTCCCATCAGTGTCAGTGGAGACCACACAGGGAGCCTAGACTTCCATCTTCACTCAGCTAGTGTTGATAAGGCAACCCTCCGCCTCCCTGCTGGGGTGGTGGCAGAAGAAGCCTGGATGAGAATCAGAACTTTCACCACTGCTCAGTGGCATTGAAGGCCACCACATACGGCTTTAGTGGATGCCACATGAGCAGTGACAAGATGCCCCACTCCTTCACAGGCAGCGGCACACGAGTGTAGCCCTGGTGGGAGCTGGCACTCTCACTAATACCCCACAGTAAAGAGGAGCTACCCCCTCAGGTGTCAATGGAGGTCAAGCAGTAAACCTGGGCATTTACCCACTTGACAGTAAAAACGTACCCACTGGAACTTCTCCTTCCCCTGCCGGAGCAGTGTCAAAGAAAGCTAGTTAAAACAGAAAGTTTAAATAAGATCCAGAGTCTCCTAATATAATCACCAAAATGTCTAACTATCAATTTTAAATGTATATATTATACGAAGAACAAGGAATACTTCAACAGCAAAATGAAGAGGAGAGGGGAAAGAATCAGTGAACTTGAGAACAGAACAAGAGAAATACCCAAACTGAACAACAGAGAGAAAATAGATTTCAAATAAATAAATGAATCTTCAGAGACATGAGTATAGGGAAAAAACATAACAACGTCAAACAATAGAAAGTAAAAAATAAGAAAAAAAATTGAAAGCAGCCAAAGATAAATGATGCATTATATTTAGGAAAAAACAATTAGAATGACAGCAAATGTCATGTCAGAAACCATGGAGATGAGGGGAAAGTGATACAACATGTTTCTAGCACAGACAAAAGAATTGTCAATCCAGAATTCTGTATCCAGTGAAAATATTCTTCTGAGTGAAGGGGAAATCATTCTTATATGAAGAAAAATTAAGAGAATTTGTTGTTAACAGAAGTTTTGAAAACAGAAGGAAAATGATAAATGAGGAATGTAGGAAATCGACGAAGAATAAAAAAATAAAAATACAAATATGAGTAAATACATTTTCTGAATAACGTTTGATCATTAAAGCAAAACATTGTAACAATGTCTAATGCAGTTCTCAATCTATAAGGGGATGATTTCATATAAATATATTACAAATGGGGAAGGGTAAATTGACAAAGGAGGGAAAGTGGTAAAGGAGGGAAGTGGTAAAGTGTTGCCACCAGTATATGGTGATAAGTTACATATATATAATGTAATACTTAAGAGTAACCATTTTAAAAACTATACAAAGAAATGCACTCAAAAATACTGCATACAAGCAAAATTTAGTTCTAAAAAATGTTCAACAAAGCCACTGAAAGGCATGAAAAAGAGAAAGGAAAGAAAATAGGATATACTGAAAGCAAAAAATGCAGGAGTTAAGCCTTAAAATATGAAAAATTACATTAAATGTAAACGGTCTAAACATAGCAATTCAAAGAAGGAATCAGCAGACTATGCTAAAAAACAATTCAAATACATGCCATTTATAAGAAACTCCCTTCAAATACAACAATGTAGATAAGTTGAAATTAAAAGGATGGAAAAATGTTTATTGATGCGAGCATCAATCAAAAAAATTAGGAGTAGATAATATATTAATATCAAATAAAGTAGACTTCAGAAAAAAGAAAATTGCCAATGACAGAGAAGAATATTACATAATGATAAAATGAATGACTCCACTAGGAAGACAGAAGTCTTAAATGTGTATGCACCAAACAAGAGAGCTGAAAAACAGGTGAAGCAAAATGTGATAGAACTGAGAGGAGAAATGGACAAATCCCCACCTACATTTGTAAACTTGTGCATTACTTCTTCAACAACTGATAGAAAACTAGACAGAAAATCACCAAAGATATAGATGAACTCAACAAACTATAAACCAACAGAATCTAACCAACATTTATAGAACATTCCACTCAACAACAGCAGAATCACTCTTTTTAAGCATCCATTTTCATGGATATATGAGAGAAAAAGCCTCAGACAATTTAAAAGAATTTATTTCAAATATAGTATGTTCTCAGACCACAATAGAGTGAAACTAGAATTCAACAATAGAGATAATAAGAAAATCTTAAAATACCTAGAAACCAAATGACACACTCCTTAGTAGTCTGTGGGTTGAAGAGGCAGTCAGCAGAGAAATTTAAAAAACAAATTAAACTGAATGAAAAATAAACACATAATATCAAATTTGTAGAACACAACTATAGCAGCATTATGAAGGAAATTTATAGAACGGAATTCATTCCTTTTCAAAGGAAAAATCTCAAATCAATAAACTTCCAGCTCAAGAAATCAGAAATAGAAGAGCAAAATAAGCCCAAAGTAAGCAGGAGTAAGGAAATGATAAGCATAACAGCAGAAATTAATAAATTGAAAATAGAAAAATGAGAGAAAAATCAGTAAAACAAAAAACTGGTCCTTTGAAAAAGATCAATAAAATTTGCAAACATTTCTGCAAGAAGAAAGAAGAAAAAAGAAATAGCAAATACATAGCAAGACAGGAAAAAAGAAAGAGGATACACATTACTAATATCAGCAATAAAACAAGGGATATCAATTCAAACTCTGAAGACATTAAAAGATTTATAAGGCAATACTAGAAACAATTTAGATAAAATGAACAGTATAAAATAAGTTTTACAATTTAGATAAAATGAACAGTATAAAAGCACCACAACTCACTCAATATGAAATGGATCATTTGAATAGTCTTATCACTATTAAGGCAATTGAATTCATAATTTTAAAATTCTGCAAAAAGAAATCTGTAGGCCCACATGGTTTCATACCAGTTCTACACAATCTCTTTCAGGAAATCTATCAACTCAAACTAAAAGACCAGTATTACATTGCTATTAAAACCAAACAAACACAGTGCAAAAAGAAAACCATAGACCAATATCTGTCATGAATATACATACAAAAATCCTTTCACAGTTAGCAAATGTAATGCAATAGTATATAAAACAACTATATACCATGACCAAGAGGAATTTATTTTAGTGATGCAAGGCTGTGTGAATATTTGAAAATAACCATATTAATAAGCTAAAGAAGAATCACATGATTATATCAATTGATGCGGAAAAAGCATTTTACAAAATTTAGAACCCATTATTGACACAACCCTCAGAAACATACTGAATAGACAGGAACTTTCTCAGCTAATTAAAAAGCATCTACAAAAACCTTACAGCTATATCATACTTAATGCTGAAGATTGGATGCTTTATCCCTAAGATTGAGAGCAAGGCAAAGATTTCTACTCTTAACACTGCAAATCCATACAGAACTGGAAGATGTAGCCAGCCCAGTTAGGCAGGGGTAGGACATGTAAATCATACATACTAGAAGGGGAGAAATAAAACTGTCCTATTTGCAGTGGATATTATCTACATAGTACATTTCCTGGAGTATACAAAAACTCCTAGACCTAATAAGTGAATTCCATAGAGTTACAGGCTACAAAATCAACATGCAGCGATCAAATGTATTTCTGTATACTAACAATAGACCCATGGAAGCCAAATTTAAAAATACAATACCATTAACAACAATTCAAAATTAAAATGGAGAAATACATAGTTTTAAATCTAGCAAAACATTTACAGGACTTGTGTGCTGAAAACTATAAAATGCCAGTGGAAGAAATGAAAACCAGATGGAAATAGTTCAGAGATCTGAAGACATAACATAGTAACAATGTCAATGGCTGGGCATAGTGGCATGTCCCTATAGTCCCAGCACTTTGGATAGCAGAGGCTGGGGGAATACTTGAGTCCAGGAGCTCCAGGCTGCAGTGAGCTATGATAGTGCTACTGCACTGCAGCCTGGGCAACACAGAGAGATCCTGTCATCTAAAAAAAAAAAAAAAAGCAGATGGCAAATAAACACATTAAAAGATGTTCAACGTCATTAGCCATTAGGGAAATGCAAATTAAGACTACAATAAGCTATCACTACACACCTATTAGAACAGCTAAAATAAAAAATAGTGACAATACCAAATGCTGCAGAGGAGGAACCGAATCTCTCATACCTGACTGGTGGGAATGTACACAATGCTACAGCTATGATGGAAAACATTTTGGCAGTTTATTAAACAGGTAAATGTACTCTTAGCAGCTGGGCGCGGTGGCTCACGCCTATAATCCCAGCACTTTGGGAGGCTGAGGTGGGTGGATCATTTGAGGTCAGGAGTTCGAGACCAGCATGGCCAACATGGTAAAACCCCATCTCTACTAAAAATACCAAAAGTAGCCAGGCGGCACACACCTGCAATTCCAGCTACTGGGGAGGCTGAAGCAGGAGAATCGCTTGAATCTGTGCAGTGGAGGTTGCAGTGGGCCGAGATCGCGCCACTGCACTCCAGTCTCCAGTGAGACCATATCTCAAAAAAAAAAAAAATAATAATAATAATATGTATACAACACTTAGTGTACACCCATGGGCTTTTATCCCAGAGAAATGGAAACTTATGTGTGCACAAATTATGCACATAATTGTTCATGGCAGCATTATTTGTAAATAGCCAAAAACTGGATACACCAGAATGTCCCTTACAGGTGAGTGGCTGAACAAACCGAAGTAAATTCATACCATGGGTTACTACTCAGCAACAAAACAGAATGAACTACGGATACGACTGGGATGTATCCCAAGGGCATTATGCTAAGTGAAAAACAGCCAATATCAAAAGGTCACACACTATACAATACTGTTTATATACCATTCTTGAAATTATAAAATTGCAGAGACGGGAAACAGATTGGTACTGAGGGCTAGCACAAAGGTATCTTTGTGGTCATGGAATAATTCTGTATTTTGAGTGTTGTGGTGGCTACACAAATCTAGATATGTGCTAAAATGACATAGAGCTATGCACTCACATTGTATCAATGTTAAATTCCTGGTTTTGATATTGCACTGTAATCATGTAAGATGTGACTGTAGAGGAGAAACTGGGTTAAGGATCCGTGAGACCTGGGTGCTGCCTTTGCAACTTCCTGTGAATATTTATTTCAAAAGTTAAAATATCAGTGGAAGATATATGTGCTGGTATTTTTGGACTTATTCTGTTCCATGGATCAATATGTTTATTCTTAAGGTCATTTTATAGTAAGCACTGAAATCAGGTAGTGTCATGAGTCAGTTACTAAAATACCTGCATTGGGTGTACGTTGAAACTCAGACTCAGAGAGGTGGATACCTTTTTTAAGGTCTGTCATTTGGAAAGGGCAAAATGTATTTAAGATGAGATTTTCCTAATTCCAAAGATCTTGTCCTCTTACTGGCATTAATACCTGCATACACTGATCACAAATGTACAGAAGTGACCTTGTGCTTGGGTCTTTACTATTCAATGTGCGGTCCCAGATCCCACAACACAAACATCAGCTGGAAGCTTGTTAGCAGTGTCGACCCTCAGCTCCTCCCACACCCCCTGACGAACTGAATTAGAAGAGCTTCAGGTGATTCCATGTTAAAGTTTGAGAAGCACTAGGCTCACTGCCCAATGTGTTGCTGCTATCAATTCCATATTCACTGCTCAAGTCATTTGATCAGATTGTGAATATGAGATAGTTGATCTAAAACGACGAATGAAGGTAATTTTGAATACCAGATCTTGAAAAACATGAGACGGTTACAATTTTACATTTTTGCATACCTTTGTGAAAATCCTTGGCTAGGACTTAGGAGTCATAAAACAGTCTTGGTGAGAGTTTGTAGGGGTAGGTAAATAGGTGAGGCTTGGATATCACCCAGAACCTACCCCTGACAAGGGCAGGGCTGCTGTTTTATGGTTTCGACTTTTACATATTAAATTTTTCCATTTTACACATTAAATTTTTCCATTTGGTCTTGATTATTTCGGGCAAGAAATAAATTATAATTCAAATTGTTTACTGCCTCTAAGTAATGTGTCATTTCTGTCTGGCTCCTTTGAAGATTTTTATCTTTAGTTTTCACAAGTTTAATGATGTTGTGTCTTGGTATGGACTTTGGGTTTATTTTATTTGGGATTCAAGCTTCTTGAATCTGTAGGCATGGT